CAGTCAGAGAGCACTAGAGACGTTACAGCGTTTGTTTAGCGCGATTGTTGAAGTTGAGTATATCGGTAAAGTTATATTTGGAAAGAATAAACTAGTTTTATTAAAAAAGGAGTTGTGTCGCTTAAGTTTCGTCGGAACGAAGTTACGGAAAGTTAATTAACAAACGGAGACGTAACAGTTAGAATAAAGAATCCACTCTGATACTGAGATTCAGACACAACAACACTTTAATATACTATATCAAGATACTTGGATACATCGAAATTACCGAAAGTATCTTGGAACATATTATTAACAAAACTATCAAATCCATCAATTTGAGTTGGTAATTGTTATTTTATTAAACTTTCTATAACATCCATTAAATCACTTAACACCACCAGTAGGTTATCAATTAACACATTGATTGAAATCTGCTCAGTTATATCTTAATGTTAAACATTATGCATTCAATCCTAACTATGTTATTCGATTCTAAGAAGAGATAGCAATAATTTACTTACATAGCGTTCAAGCAGGAAACGTTAGACACTCGTAGCATGTTTGTAGACATGGTCAGCTTTTCCAACTTCTGAATTCTGTAGAGAGACTTCTACGCCGTGAAATACTTGTTCGTGTTATCTGCCTTCAATAGCTGCTGTAAAAACGAACTTTTCTGGCCCAAAGCATACTAAATATAGTAAATATTTTTGGTATATTTACAACCTTCCAAATAGTGTACACATTTAGCCGCAAGTAGGTCTGATATTTAATTGGTTAATTATTGCAACCTCATCCTGATTCTCAGAATCAAAAACAAAACTACTTTGATAATTAGTCATAACTGAACACAGTAAGTTGGCTGCCTTCTTACTTGTATCTCTCCTCGCATTTTTGATATGAATCCTACATCAAAGTTCAAATTCCTTACTTTTTTTAGTAACAATGTCCAAGTTAATGTCAACTTTTTTCGTAGCTTTCTCTCTGCTATAGTGGCGTTAGTCTATACATAACAATCTCATGTCCAGTCTCTAATGAGGCTTACATAAACATTCTTAAGGCTGTGATAGCATCGGCTTATAGAAATTATAAACATATAATTGCTATAAGCCGATGCTATACAAATTATTAGCATATATTTCTATAACGTATTTTTAGTTATACTTGGCATACGTTTCCTTCGTAGTCAATCTTTGTTTTTTAACTTTTCTTATGCATCCACTAAGTGTGCACCACATTCCTTTTTATTGCATATATGTGTGCTACACATGTACTTCGAGATATGCAAATTTTCTTAATACTTGAAACATTTGAAATACAGTGAAATGCCCAAAATGCTACAAATGCTTCACTTGTAATTCTTATTAAATTCATTATCAACATCGTCGTCATTATTGAAGGCAATTTGAGGTGCTAAACTCTCTTCCTGCTCATCTGCAAATAGATTTATCAAACCATTTTCCTTAGGAATTGTGTTTTATTTTGGTTTAAGATATTAAACATCCAAAATTTTCCTTCTAGAGTCTTAAGACATAACGACAAGAAACAAATGCTAAATAATATACTTGTAACATGTGATCAAAATACTTCATACCAAATAGGTAACATTCTACGTACAGGTTAATATTATAAATATAACTTTTGAAATTGTTTCTGTAATATTTACCAGTGCCTCAGATTCATCATGATAGTCAGAAGCTAAAATGGCACTATTTTCTTTTTTCTATAATAAGCGATTATTAATTCTGCAAAAGCTCTCTGTTGGTTGAATTAAAAGTTGTTAGGAGTGCCACAATATACTTCATTTCTAACGTCTTCGTTTTTCAATGTTGACACATCAGTAGGTTTCGAACATTTGCATGGGCGCCCACAGAAATGTTTTTATAGAGACAAAAGATGTATGTAGGGGATCAGTTTTTACAGTGTAAATTAACAGGCTAAAAGAATACGTGTTATGCGTGCTTAAGCGCAAACACAAATTTACAGTTTTAATAAAAATTACTAAAAATATTTAGCTTAACTACGATGTTAGTACGTGCATTTTTTTTGTGAAATGTAAGGGAGCAAATGCCCCTCTTGCTCCTTCCTGCGAGCACCCATGAACACTTGTTGGCTTGTAAGAAGTCATTTTATTCTTAAATCAGTGCTACAACCAATATACAGTTTGTGCAAAAAACCTTCCCAAAATTTGCATGATTAGTTGGAATTTAAATAGCTGCAATATGAATGAAAAACACTGTTATAATATCTATAATGCTCATTAGATGTTGGCTTGAAAACATAACACAAAAATGTGAGTTTGTACAGCTTGTAAAAAAGTTTTCCAAAGTGACGTGCTTAATTTCTGCCGGTTCTGAGTATTCAGTTTACTACATAAATAAACGAGTTATACCATAAAATGTTTGATCGTTCAGATCTTCCAGCCCCCCCCCAGTGGTACAGCGGTATGTCTGCGGACTTACAACGCTAGAATCCGGGTTTCGATACCCGTAGTGGGCAGAGCACAGATAGCCCATTGTGTAGCTTTGTGCTTAATTACAAACAAACAAACAAATCTTCCAAATTTCACTGGGTTTCTTGCTTGACCAACACTCAGAGGTACTGCCTGCTGTTATTGTTAAAATGACAACAGCTATAACAACCCACATTCCGTTATTATAGAAAATGAGGCTAAGACTAATAGGAAAAAGGGTAAAGCTATAAATACTGGTTCTTACACAAATAATTGAAACAGACTAGACATCATGCACAAACCAACCTCTAGCTTTTGATCATGGGAATGCTTTAACGCATACATTTCATTTTCACTGAACTTTATTTTCCGAAATAATTTTAATATGGACTGGTGGTTACCTCAAAGCAAATTGCATTAGTTTACTTTCTGATTTTGGCTGTAAACGCACAGAATTCACTATTGTGCATTTACGCTTCACCTTGTACTGAAAAAATGTTAAGAAACTCTTCAGTATAACTGTATACTAACAAAATATTTCAATCTACTCAATTGAAATTAAAGCGGTAAACACTGGGTACAGTTAGTTCAGTCATTATTTCACCCATTGTGAATATTTAATATTTCAATTCAATCAAATCAAAAGCACTCTTCTCTATTAATACCAACAACACCAGTTCAAACTGTGCTTTCTCTCAAAAATAGTATAAGCTCACCCATTACTATTATCTCTTTAATGAAAATTCACCACCTGGTGAATATTTCAGAATCAAAACTGAAAACGTTCTCTTATTACCATCAATGAAAATATTAGGTGCACTGTATCTTCAGATAATTCTCCTCAGTCTTATTGCTTCAATTTGCTCTTGACCATGAGGGTTACTGATGAAGGGTGTAATTCCCTGAAACTAGTACAACTCAATGACAAATGGTAAATCAAATGATAGATTGGGCTTCACATTTATTTATTTGTTGTTAGTTTAGCTTAGAGTACGTACTCAAACTTTCAAGCCACGCTTTCTTTGTTTTTATTATGTCTCCACTGGGAGATATACTGTGTTTCTTTTTCTCCTTTCTTTCTTCTACTTCCAAGCAATTTTTAATCGCTCTCCATTCCTTCATTTCTAGGCGGAATGAATTGTAACTTGATAGTTAGTCTAATCAACTATCAAGTTTCAATTAGTCTAATCAACAATACACATAGACATCTTTTTGATTGTTTTGAGTATCTTATGAAGTTAAAAGTAAAAAAAAAAACCAAAATGTATATTTTGGGCTCCTGTGCGATCTATTTGCAGCAATCAAGATGAAAATTGGCACTAATATACATTTTTACGCGCAACACATTGACATAAAAAAGTTGTATTTGTCCATTTTGAGTTTTTTAAGGAGGGTCAGAGCCCACAAAAAAGCATAATTTGGGTGTTCTTGGTCAATTACTCGGTCATATTTTGACCAATTTATATGTTATTCAAATGTTATACCAATGTTATTCAAATTCGATGACTAGGAACCCACTTTGAGACTAATAATGATTGGAGACTGCTTGAATGGATAATGAAGAAACTCTTTAATATAAGCTTATCATAACAGCAGAATGACAGAACCTTTTCGAAACGTTATACCTTTACTGCTATGTTAAACTTATATTAAAGTTTTTCTTCATTACCCTTTCAAGGCGTCTCCAAGTATTGTTATCAATGTTATTATTATGTACAAGGACAAAAACGACAACAGCTGTGAGTTTATTATAATAATTATTTGAAAATGAAAAGGCTATAGGTTTTTCAGGGATAAGAAAACCTTTCATTTTCACAGAGAGTTTTTAAATTGCAATAATAAAATTTTCAAATACATTCGCGTCTGTAAAACATTACGCAGTCGGCAGGATTCGAACCTGCGCGGGAATATCCCAATGGATTTCAAGTCCATCGCCTTAACCACTCGGCCACGACTGCTGACAGATAATTTCTGTTATTTATAGTTATAGATAATTAGTTATAGATTATTATTATAAATAGACTTACATTATTATTATTATTTCGTGAATTTTGAAATATTAACTTTATTAATTTTATTTTCGCTTAAAGTATCTTAACAATTTGCTTAAAATTCTATTTCACAATCAACGGTAGGAATTTGTTTTTCTACGTCACGGTGCAAGTGGTTGTGAGAAGCGTTGGTGAAACACGTTTGTAAATTGGAGGCCATTATGGCATTAAATTAATGGTTACGAAGTTGAAATGTAGTTGGTTGTTTTACCTGTATAATATTAATGTACGAAACTTTTGTCGTTGTAAAAACAGATAAACTATATTGTTTTAACCATAATTCGTTTGTGTTTCTATAGGTTCAAATAGACCCGGATTCACTGATGGCAGAGAACACCATTTTAAAAGGTCAGCTAAAAATAAAATTGGGAAAATGAAATCACGACACAATGAACACTAATTTTTTAACTGAACTAAATACACGTTGAATATTATAATTATTAATTTATAATTTTAACTTAAAGTTAAGGTAGAAAAGTCAAAGTGTGCTTTCACATGCTCCAAATTAGTTAATGCTAAAAGTAAAAGCTTACGCAAGTTACGGTCGTTTACCTAACTTTGGTTTTTGAATTTTTCGTATACTATGTCTATAGCCCAGGCTATAGATATTAAGTCATCATTTTCTACCATAGTACCAACACTAATTTATTTAACAACAATAATCTGTGACATTGGTTATGAGCTTTTAAAATTAAATTCGTTCCTATAAAACGACTTAAATTTGACCAAAGTTACCTTAGCATACTACTTTGACTGAAGTCATGCTCAGTTGTGCATACTTTTAATATTAATACAAGATTGAAACTTTGATTAGGTAGCCGGAGAAATCGGTAGATATCAGTATGAATTAACTAATAATTTAATATAACATGTCAAAAGCATTTAAATTAAAATATAAGAAATGCTGAGTTATTATACTTATAGAATGTTTCAAAATGTTATTGAACTTCCTACAAATCTGTTTTACTTATCTGAATATTTGATTTTAACATATATCTATTACACTTTGGTATTAATATGCAATTTCACATCACCCTACTTCAGATCCATGTGCTCCCTTGTTTTATGCCATGTATATTAGCTATGTATTTCTTCTCTTTCATGTACATGTAACTATCCAGTTAAAGTTGAAGATATTTCAGAGTAACAATACATATCATCATCAGGCATACCATTTCGAAACTTTATGAACAAAAGTTTTGTTTCAGAATGAGTGTTTTGGCTTCGTATGTTTAAACCTACATATTTTACTCTTTTCATTAAAGTTTGTTTCTAGTCTTTTTATTCTCATTCATATGGACAGACTGTTCATGGGAGGATTACCTACATCTTTACTTTTTATCAATCTCAGGTTTAATAGAAACAACTTCTAATTTAAGTTTTCCATCTTGTATTTCATCAGTCATGTAACATTCATTCTTTTATAGCATTGTTATGTTGATTTTCACCACACAAAGTTCGTACAAAAGAATATTTTTCTTACAACAAAGCTTTTACCTGCTAGGAAGCCTGAACGAGAGAATATCAAGTAATTATTATTATTCTTTCTATCAAACTATCTATAACCTTTTTATATGCTTTATCATATTTAAGAAAATATTTCAAAATGTGCATATTATTTATTGTATTACGTATCTTAGGTTACTATTAAACCAAATTTTGAATTACTCATGAAAAGTAAAAAACTCTGGATTTGGTCAAAGTGGGTGTTGGCCTGGAATTCTGAAAAAACTTCTTGAATTGAATTAAAGGGGTGTCAAATAATCCAAACATTCATAAATTTTACTCAAAAGTTATTTTCTTTGCCTACTTAATTGTTAAAAAAAAAGAAAAAAGTTTAATAAAAATAAATGTTGCTAGAATAAATTAGCATGACAATATTGGTAGGTAGCACCAGTTCACCTTCACCCATTATTATCTAGAATACTTTGGATTTTATCATTGTATCAATTATACAAAGCATGCATGTTTATGGCTGAGTAAACAATATTTTAAAAAATTAGAATGCTTTTGAATTTTTTTTTCATTGTGAATAAAGATAATTATGTGTGTATAATGTAAAGTGGCGAGCAATGCACTATACAAAGACTGGGTTAAGCCTTTTAAGAGCAATAGAAGGAAGGAAGGTTTTTTGTGTGGTCAGCAATTGCATGATCAATCTCTCATATATTGGAGAAAATGCATTGGAATCATATTTGAAAAGCAGAAAATGTAAATGCACAAGAAGGGACAAACCCAGTGTTTCAGTTACAAGTTTTTTTTGGCTAAAACAGGCTGTGGGCTCTGAAATCCAGGACATAGAAAAGATATCTAGAGTGTAATTTTCTTTAGCATATTTAGTTATATGTGATAAACGTATGAAATAGTCAAAGCAACTGCTCTTTGAAAAATTGAAAAAAAAAGAATTTCCAGAGGTCTTTTACAATATATTTGAATAATGTATATTACATTACAACTGTCAAAAAGCTAAATTAACCAGCTCTGATGTTTTGTAATGTTAAACACAACCACCAACCATAGTTGACTTTTGGGGAAATATTGTTTTGTTCCTTTCACACATTAATTTGAATGCAACGAATTTTCAGTACTGTTTTTCAGGCAATTATGTAATAACTTCTACTACAAGAGCTGCTAAAAATTCTACAGTTAATAATAAATAGTTTTAAATATGAGTAATAGACAAATAATAAAAAACTTCTACTACTACTCTTCCCTAAGTCATCAGTTGGCTACCTTTATTACTAGCAGTGTTTTTGGCCTTTAACCCGTGAACATTGATGATGTTGATCTTGCTTGGTCGTATTACCAAACACCGAAGTATAACTGTCACATTTGGCCCATGTAGTTATTACTACTTAAGAAGTTTATTATTATTAATGTTATGAATAACTAAAATATTTATTAAATTATTTGCATTTAAAACTGTAAATCACAAACGTATAAACTGAAGGGAAAGGGTATAAAGGCAGTGTTCTAAAATGCCATACAGCAATATATTTGGATTTAGGATACTAAAATCAAATTTGGTATTGTGGAAGAAAAGACAGATATTTATCTGTGATTGTTAATAAAGCCATCTTGTGAGTTTCTAAGTGCAGTAAAAAATAAATATATATATAGTGAGATTGTAATGGATATTTAGTTAATATTCAGTATCTTGCCTGTTTGGTCATTTTGCGGTGTTTGATTTGGCCAGATATTAGTACCTATTCAATGGCCAAACATTTGAAATTTTCATGTATTTTCGTACTGCTAACAAGTGCAACCAAACTTCTATGATCTTTGATGTTGGAAGTTTTAAATAACGAATAAAAAACTAACATACACAAGATCATTAATTAGTAGCTTTATGAATGTAGAACAGCAATATCACTAATAAATTTGTTTTTGTTTTGTTTTTTACGGTAAAGATTACAATTACTGTTTAACTGAGTTATCAATAACATGTTTTGTGATTGTGTGCAGAAATCCTAAAGCAAGTGGTTCTCTTTATTATGTCAGACAAACATTATTAAAGTTAGTATGTAAGAGAATGATGTGGTTGTCTAGTCCTAGTATTTTATCAGAATGTGATAATATTTTTAAGTTTTTTAACATAATCACTTTTTTCTTATCTTGAGGGTGTAATATTTGTTTTTATATGTATCTAGCCCCAGACTAGTTGGCATCTATTTTTTTTTGCTACAATGACTGAATTATTACACATTGCAAATATATTACACATACCTATGTTCATTGTAATGGTTTATTTCATATTATTGCAAAACTAAAACAAATAGCATATACTACTAATTACAGCATATTTGATGCAGATATATATTCTATGGGTAGGTGAACCAGTCTACATAAAGAATGATATTCATTACATTTTGAAAATAACATGAGTAGTTCAAAATATACAATGTATCTGGGCATGTTATTCAGTCTGAATGTATATGCATGACAAAATCAAAACAAACAGACAGCATTCTGATATTCTAAACATCATGCCCTTTTCTGTTTTATCTGGAAAAAGAGAAGAGAGATACTAGTGAGCAGTCAAAATCATTTAACCCAAACACAGCTGTATCATGTTGTATCAAGAGAAGAGAGATACCAGTGAGCAGTCAAAATCATTTAACCCAAACACAGCTGTATCATGTTGTATCAAGAGAAGAGAGATACCAGTGAGCAGTCAAAATCATTTAACCAAACACAGCTGTATCATCTTGTATCAACAGAAGAGAGATACTAGTGAGCAGTCAAAATCATTAAACCCAAACACAGCTGTATCATCTTGTATCAACAGAAGAGAGATACTAGTGAGCAGTCAAAATCATTAAACCCAAACACAGCTGTATCATGTTGTATCAAGAGAAGAAAGATACCAGTGAGCAGTCAAAATCATTTAACCCAAACACAGCTGTATCATGTTGTATCAAGAGAAGAGAGATACTAGTGAGCAGTCAATATCATTTAACCCAAACACAGCTGTATCATCTTGTATCAACAGAAGAGAGATACTAGTGAGCAGTCAAAATCATTAAACCCAAACACAGCTGTATCATCTTGTATCAATTAAATTTTGCTTTAAAAAATTACTATTCTAATTCCAGCCACAAATAATCACGTGCATTAGATGGTATTATGAATATGAAAATAAATGGACACTTTAATTTACAGTTTGGTAATTGAGTCGTGTATATATGTTTTTACATGAGTCTCAAGGTTTATTAACCTGTTATTAATGAATAGGCTACTAAGCTTACAAACATTTCAGTGACAATAGATATTTAATGGTTTGAAAGAAAAAAATCACAAGTAGCACTTTTATAAATTTTTATACTTGAATATAGGTTTAGACTTTACACACCAGTACACATTTCATGCAAATAGAACCACACTCTGTGGACTAGTACAAATGGAATTCATGGTAGCCCAGTCTAAAAATTTGATGGTTCCAGGAATTGGACTATTGGATTTTTTTAATCACATGAAGCTTGACATTTATTTATTGGGGGCAGTTGTGATATTCACTTTCATAATTAGAATTTCTTACTCGGGTATACTTGTTCGCTACTTTGAAGTTGTGATATAAGAGTTGTATTCACTCTGCATTTTATGGAAGCAAGTAGTTTCTCTTTACTTCTTATATATTTCCAATTCTGGAAAACAGGAACTCGCTATACACTTTGACGACTGGGGTTGATAGTATTGAAAATTTGTATTTGTTCAGTTTCCACCATAGTATCAGACTGTTGATTTGAAAGGGATGGTAATAAATATAATTTCAGTTCATGGCAGTTTTTGTCATGAACTGTGTAAACAGTAATATCTATTAATGCATGGAAGTTTCATTGTATTAATCAAAGAATGAATCCTAGAACTCCAACAATAAACACTTAACTAATGTGGAGTAATTTCCACTGTCTTTATCTTCAGATGCATTTTATTGTGAAATTGGCAGTGTCATTGCTTTTTTTCAAGCATACTCTTTTTACTGCTTGATTCTGTCTCTTTAAAAGTCCTCCGTTGGGACAGATGTAAGTGTATGGACTTACATCACTGAAATCTGGGGTTTGATTCACTGCAATGGATACAGCAGATAGCCCAATGTGGCTTTGCTCTTTAAAAAAACAATCTTTTTAAAATTGAGGATCCAACAAAGTTGCTAAGGTGAAATACAGATTGTTTTGTATTCCTGCAAATGTATTATCAAGCCTTTCTCTCATTGTTCCTTGTCCAAAGTAGCTTATGTTATCCTTTGGCAGATAACCACAAGAGTAGCCACAGCTGAGATACTTTCTGAAATTATTGAGTCTGTCAAGCTAATGTATTTTGTAATTTCTTTGAATTTTTGTGTCAATTTTAATCTTACCTCCAATAGAGACCATTAATTATTGTTGAGGATGGTGATGATCATTGTTCTCAGTGGCAAGAACCACATGCTTCAAGAGCCTTTCAAGAAAATAGTGTATTGAATTTCATCTTCTACAAGTTTCTTTCTAAGCGTATTTAAATTGATAAATACTAAATATAGCTAATGCTCTCTCTTAACACACACTGCAGTACATAAGATAGCTTCATGAACCTCAAACTTTCTCAAAACACTATCTATAATACTTCATGGGCTGTGAACATTGGTTCAAACAGGACCAGCATTTTAATGACTCCCTCTGTTCCCACTAGTTCTTTTTATACTTGGATTGCTTTGTGTTGTGTGCTCAGTTCTATATTGTATCTACATGTAATATACAATAAGGATTGTGTCAGAATTTAAAATATATATATATGTATATTCTTTCTGCCAGTTGTCAAAAGAAAAGGCTTTTACTTATACTTCTTAGTAGTATAAATATATACTATGTCTTTGTTGTTGGGCTTAGGATTCTTCTACAGTAGGTGTCTGATACTTGTTCACAATAAATTCAATGCTGAATGAACAACCTGCACTTCACATGTTCTCAAATAATATATAAATTCGGAACAACTTATACGTATGTACAACAAATTCTTCACATTATAGATATTACAGGCACATCATAAACACTATATATAGTTCTCTTCTTCTTGTCAAAAGTCCACTTAGGCCTATTCATTTGCTTTAGAATTTCAGTTGACAAGCCAAACTATCTTCTCTATTACTATTGCACTAATATTCTGTGTGTGATTCACTTACAATTGAGGCATGAGTTACCATAATCATTTGGTCTTCTTTCCTCAAAATATTCTCTGTTCATTTAAAAAGCACTCAGGCTGATTCCATTACTTTAGAACAACGCTTTGATGGAATAAATTATTATTCTTATCTTCTTTTCTACTGTTAGTCTTACTTTAACATATTAAATGTTATGCCTATCACTTCTACGATAGTTAACTTCATGCTGAACTTTTCCTTGCTCGTAACTTTACTCTCTTCTGCTATTTTCTGTTTTTGTTTCCACTTGTCTCACACTATTTATATGTCTATCACTTAATCTTAACCACCTTCTAGAAATCTCTATATTTCTGACGTCAATGTATTGCACGAAACATTCAATAGTCTCAACATCAATGACTTATAAACACAACCTTCTACAGTCATCTGCTTTTAACTCTTATTATATCAAAAATTAAACAATAATAAAATATTCACTCACAAAAATAAATTAATTAATATGTCTAAACTAAACACTCTTTTATATCATGACAAATTGTTGGGAAAAGAAACACAATAAAAATATGAAAAAATTATCCAACACGTAGGTGAAACCAGAAAGTCTGTCATACTGTAAAGAAATAGTAGGGAAATAAAACACTATCATAAAAAATCAACTTTGGGTCTAATATATACAGTCCATGCACAGTAACATTCTGATACAATACCTCTACATGTAGGTGATAGCTGGCAATATAAATGTATTACTACCAAGTATGGTTATCTATTTGTTAATACATTGAGCAAAATTGCTAAAGATTTTAGTAACCTGATTAAATGCTTCATTTATCTTTTAATGGGATATTAGAGAACTTGCTTTATAAGGCAAAACTCAAAGCTTCGGGTTTTATCCAAATGTTCGTTACTTCAATTATAAAACTGTCCACATCGTTTAGAGAAGTCACAGCCAGACTTGGAACTAAGTGCTTAACTATGTGATTGAATGATTATTGTATGTCATGGAAAAGCTTGAGTTGAAGCAGGATATTTAGTTTAATGATTTATGAAGTTTGATAATCTGTTACAATCTACTTACAAGGTTTTGAAATCATTAGAATAAACATTTTTTTTTTTTTGTAAAATGGTGTACATGTGTATAACTATTACCTTGCTTTTTTTATTTGTACTTGGATCCTTTTTCAGTTTCTTTCCATTTTGAATAAGGTTATGATGCCTACTGAAGTAGTGAATTTTGTTGATATCTACAGTAGCATTGACCTTCCTAGCTGTAAGAGTGGTGATGGCGCCTTTATTCCTTTCAGACATTGAGTAATGCAAGATTTAAAAATATTTTTGCCAGGCAGGGTCATGTTGGCCTTCAGTCAGGTTTAGAGCAGTTTGGACTCTGATTTCTTTATCTATGTGTAATATTCAACAGTAGAAATATTAACCATAAAATTAAGTCTAAATTTAAAAAAAAAAGGCTTTGCCATTATATGGACCAGATTTATTTTAAAGTGTTATTAGCTAAGCCTAAATACATGGGTATTACCACCTTTATCAAATTCTTCATTGAACTTCAGTAATAGATTGAATGTTCTTTAATATTGTAAAATTACGTGTAAGAATGTTGGGATGGTTGTTGGGATCCATTTTGGAATTCTATTCATCTATTTTTAAAAATATGAGATAAGTGAAAATAAGTAATCAAGAAGGGAGCAGATTGATCATCTTGAAAATCAGATGATATGGGTCCAGAATTTTCATAGTTTTGCATACTCAAAAGTTAATGTGCAAGTTGAAATTCTGCATCACAGATGTTCCATACAGAATAATTACATATTGTGTAAAAGATAATTAACAGATTGAATGTCATTAAAATAGATTTTAAATAAACAGCCTTCTCTGGTGAAGCAGTGAGAGATATAATTTTATTGCAGATGGTTCAGATGTTTAGTTGTGTAAGAAACTTCTTGTTTGTGTATAATTTTACAGACAGAAAAAATATAAAGACATCTTGACCATCTTGAAAAGGACATATATATAAAAATTATTTTTGTTTGTTAAAAATGTAATGGTAGCCAAACATGTCTTAAACACTGAATGTCAAGCAGATTTAAACAGCTAATACTTCACATTGACAAAGTACTTTCAAACCAAGAAAGATTAAGAGTGAATGAATAAATAAATATATTAGAAGCAAACAGACCAGTCTTTAACAGACTTAGGTTTAAAAATTAAGGATGTTTGGATTTTTTTGGTAAACAAACAGATCAGAGAACCAGTCAGTCTGATCACAGGTCTCCCAATTAAGCACAAGAGCTCTCCTTCACAGCTGTGCAATCACATCACAATAGCAGTTCTACAGAATGCAGGTAAAAAGAAGTTTGTTGCGAGTATGTCGAATTACCACATTCCATGAATTAACTAATAATATTCATCCAACATCACTATTTTGATGGTGATAAATTTCATTTGGATGCTCATCAGGAGCAGATCCAGGATTTTTAAAGGGTGGTGGTGGTGGTGGTCCAACTAGACTCTTATTAGCACTATTTGTATATGTATGTTACTTTCAATGTTTATCTATAATTTTTCCCTACTAGTAGTGTCAGTACTAAAATTGATTAGAAAGCGTACAAAAGTCATTATGATTAGCTCAGTTGGATTATATCTTTATTTCCAGTATTGTGATTGATATGATAATAAAACAAAAACAATTATTTAAACATTTTAATTAAAATTAAATGCTACAGTTATTTACAGTCATGTTTAGAAAACAATTATAAAGCCTATGCCTAAATTCATATTTTAACATTCATAAACAGGATATCTGATTTTACACTTGTATTTTTGCTTATTTTGGACATCAAAATAATGAAAAATTGATTCTGTAACAAGTCTATGTTTGGAGCTCCAGGTACACTAAACAATACTAACTTTGATGAAAACAAATCTCTTAAAGTCTAAATGCATTATTAGTGTGTGTGTGTGTGAAAAAAGCCAACACGAATATTTACCATGGCAGTGTTTAACTGACATTCATATTGTTGTATGAGCTTAGAAATGAGTTATTGGCTTAGGCCATCACCAAATTGTTGTAGACTCCAAGTGTATTGATTTCAGAAAGCTGTGAAAAATCTTTTATAGTAATTAGTATTAAACTAATCAAACAAAAACACTGATGTTTAAGTGATTTTTTTATATATACTATATTGTAGTGTAAAGATGTTTGGATGTTTTTAATCAGTTTCTGAAACAAAAAATTTGAGGTATGTCTATCTCCTAGATATACACCTGCTTATAGCTGTGCAAGATTAATCACACCAAAACAGTGCTAAATGAGTACATAATTTTATCATGTTAAACTGAAATATTTTGCATGTAGAATTCTTCTAAAGGTTTTTAAACTGAAAATAAGTTTACAAAGTTAAATTTTAAAAAAAAATGTTTAAATTAAGGGGTTCTCTATTTATCTTGAATGTACAATGTTTTTGATATATTTTAGATTAAGGATGATTGGGTACAAATAGGCAGTACCTACCTGCTTACTATATATTGTTTTCATCCAATGGGGAAGTGCCTTTCTTGCTATCAAGCAGAAGCAGTACCTGATAAATATATGAAGTGTCAAGAAATGGAGTTCTCAAGTGCCATTGTACGATTAAGCAATTGTGATGAAAGTCAGATATTTAGATCTAGCAATAGTGAACTCGGTGCTTCTGTTGTTAGTAGTAATGGAGAAATGCACAAAAGTACATCTTCCAAATCTGTCCTTGGTTTTGCAGAAAAACTGATATTTCACCCACGAATCCCTGCAATTCGTAGTGGTAGTACAGACAAAAAGCAGTCTAGTCATTCTGGACGAGATTACTTAGAAAGAAAAATCCATGCTCTTTTTGATAAATATAAAGATTTAGGAGAAGATGTTATGTTGTCAGAAGGGATAGAGCAGTTTTGCCAAGACCTTGAGGTTAAGCCTGAAGAATTTCTTGTTCTTGTATTAGCCTGGAAGTTTGGTGCTGACCAGATGTGTTGCTTTACCCGGGAAGAGTTCGTGATTGGTTGCAAAAGTCTTCATGTGGATTCAATTCTAGGAATACAGTCCAAATTCTCAGAAATGCTACAAGAAGTGAAGAATCCTGATACCTTCAAAGATTTATATCGATTTACATTTAAATTTGGTCTGGAAGTTGGACAACGAATACTCCCTGTAGAAATGGCAATACAGTTGTGGAAACTTGTATTCTCAAAGAGAGAACCTTTAATTCTTCAACGATGGATTGTGTTTTTAGAAAAACATCCAAATATTCGAGGTATACCACGTGATACCTGGAATATGTTTCTTAACTTTTCAGAAACTATGGGGGATGATCTTAGCAGCTACGATGATACAGAAGCTTGGCCCAGTTTATTTGATGACTTTGTAGAATATGAGAATGATAAAACAAATCAGAATGTGCTTCAGAACAAGGAATTGGAAGAGTTAGTTTAATTAACAGCCACTTGTGTCTTTTCAAGTTTCAATATAATGTTACCGAACGTCATTTATGTGTTGGTGTTGGCCTACCTGATACGGGCTTTCCTATATAATGTGACTTGATGTGATATCTTGACAGTGACCTACCTGAATATACAAATATTTTGTCAAAGGACCATATAAAAGTTCAGAAGTTGCCACAATTTAATTTTGTTTTTATCAAAACATTTAGCTTCTTTGCTGGTTCTATTTATAAGTATGTGTTGTAGATCGTGTGTACATTTTCTGTTGTTCTGCTAACCAGTTTCCAAATTCAAGTTATAATATTCTTGATTTTTCAACTCAAGAGACCATACCGTTATTATTTTACCTATATATATATATATATGTTTGTGTGCGTGGTGTATTTCTACTCACCCAAATTGACAGTATTTTTTGCTTTATTTTCATACAAATTATATCACAACAAATATGATAAAATGTACTCTGTGTGTCGTCACTTAATAAATATAATTTGAGTTTTCTCGTGTAACAGACCTATACTTTACAAAACCAACCAAATTCTTTAAGGTATATGGAGGTAGTTTTTCCTCTCTAAAACAGTGTTAATAACCATTTATAGTAATACCATGAAAGCTAGATTAACGGTCATTACCCGCATGCACTCGATACAACCGTATCAAGCATCATTATTTACATTAATTACTTAAGCTAATATCACATGACGTTCAATGCGCTTTAATTAGGAGAGTTTCTTTATAGGATTTTTTGTTTGAAAAAATATGAATAATGAAGACGTTTTAGAATTTGGAGTATATATACATGTATGTTTCTGTCATGTCTTGCCTTATTATTACACCTATCTTTTCACCAGCTTAATCTAGTTCATACCGTAGCATTGATTGTTCACACAATACTGATAATATAAATAGCATCTTAACCATTATTCAGCTTGTCATATTCCAGCTAGTCTGATGAACCTTAGAATTGAGTGAAAAGTTTTGTCAGCACTGGATATAGTGTGGTTGACATTGCTACACATTCTTTAATTTCACTCATTAGTTCCTTGAATAATCTGTTCTGCTGTCCTTCTCACGGTAAGTTATTCTTTGCAACAGTCTCTGTAATATTTTCAACAATTGGTTCTCTTAGATTTAGCTGAAATTCCTGGTTCAACTTCTGCATATAAAATGTTTATTAGTTATAAATAAATACAACGATTTGCAAGCCAACTAAAATATAACATACTAATCCCCGGATTGAAAGCAGTTATGCAGATGATGAATTAAGGAAACAATCGCCACTAACTGATTTTTTCTACACAGACCATATATAAACCAGGAAGGTCATTAGTTAAACCAAGTAAGAAACACAGATCGTGGGAGTGCTGTGCAAATTACTCAGTTACAAAATGATAATCTGTAAGAATCATCAATACCACTTATCATGCAACATTGAATACTGCCTATAAATCTAGCCGTCCTGAATGAATAGTTCTCACACTATAAAAATGTTGCAATACATTTAGCTGAACTAAAACATGCATACACCTATAGTTTCTAGAAATTCAAATCACACTTGTGTCCATCTCTTTCTATACCGAGGAGAACAGTTAGTCATTTGAGTTTTGTACAAATTATTCTTAACCCTTAGATTTATTTGACTTTTTCAGAGAGTTGCATTATTATCAGATCTTTTCTTACTTAATTTCAGGTTTTAACTCTTGGCATACCTTCTTTAGCATCCTTTTAGCCACATCCAATTTATTTTGCGAAACTTCTATCGTGTTCTGAGCTACAGAAACCTGGTCCTCGTATTTGAATTTGATTGCATTCATTAATTTTATGTTTGCTTTTGAGAAAGGTATTGAGCAACTAATAATGTAATACTACAGATACACAACTTTAGTTAATAATACTACATGTAAAGTAAACAATAAAGTATAGTAATGATATTTATAATAGCGTACAGAGTAGGAAATAGTTATGAGTTTTCAGTGTATGACACGGTTTTACGAAGTAAAACAAAGAAACGCTCAAGAACGAAGAATAAAACCAGTACTAAAGGAAAACGTAACTATGAAATGAACAGAAGCTAAATTATTGCAAAGTAACGTAAATGTAAAGTTGCAATGAAGGAAAACATAGCTGAATATGCAGAAACATCTGAATCAGTGTTCACAAAATGATAAGCATATGGTTTTGAACAAGCTGCGCATGCGTATTTTAGATCATAATAAGTCGAGTAAGCCCATAGCAGTTATATTTAGTGTAATGTTCAATTTTTAAGAAATTACACGTGGGTTAAATCTTGTTTGTGTGAAATAATTTGCAAATATAAAACTAAAGTTGAAATCGAAGCCAGTCGTTACGTGATGACAAAGACATTTTTGCATAAAAAGTTTGATAAAGCAAAAAACAAGTAAGGTGATTCTAAATGGAAAGCCAATACAAAAGCTGCACTCCTCGAACAAAGGCGTTTCTAACGACATCAGATTTGTAGTGTTTGATCAAGAAATTTGCGAGAAAAGTTTCTGACAGACAAACGCAAACGTATTATTTATATAAACACTTGTAGCTTCAGTCATTTGTGTTGTAATAGCCAAAAAAGGTAAGGATTTTCTCATAGTATTTCAATCCATCATTAGTGCTGAGTAGCATGCAGACCATTGACACTTGTCTTTCTTAATGACATCATCTTCTTGGTCACACTCCTTTTAAGCAGCTTTGTCAAAACGTTGTAATATATAAGTCCAGTTCACTCAGTTGATACAAGCATTCAGCAGTTTCTTCCTTCTCGAAGTTTCCATTCATCTCTGATGCTTGCAATATTACTCTCAGGTATTACCTGTGGCATTTTCAATGCTACTTTCTTAACTAACATCACAGACTTTTTTTTTTTTCAAATGAGTATTATCAAGTGGAATTTTTCAATAGGTGCTTGGTGATACTTGTATATGGAAGCACATTATGCTCATCTGATAACATGTAGTATGTTCCTCAAAATAAAATCACTTCATTAATGTTATAAATCGTTGTTTTTCAATTTGCTTTTAAGCACTTGGTGACTGTGATGAAAATAGTTCTGAACTCCGGCAATGTTGCGTCTTGAAGGCTTGTCTTGACTTCTGATCAGGCTCTTTGGTTTTGCTTCACCAATATTCATATATTTCTTAGAAAGCTTGCCTTCAGTCACATGTTATTCATGCTGCCTTGTTTTTGTCTTCATCTTTTGCCCATTCAATTTGCTTTCTGTGTTTCTGGTATTTGCTGCATCATGGTGCTTAGTTTCTGGAGTAGGACTCTTAGTCTTATTTCAGGGAACTACATTTGGTACCCTTCCTTCCTATAAAAGTTTTGGGGGAGTTTCTTGTCGTACTGACTCCCTCCTAAGAGACCAGCCATCATGGGGCTCAATGATAAGTTGTTTGTAGAACCACCCTCTCAGCTTTAATCATGTGGGTGCTTAGCTCTTACAGTTTGTCCATCTGTGAACTCACTTTGTAGAAAAGCAATGGGTCGCAAAGGTTTTCACTGAGGTTTTCTGATTTTTTACCACTATTGTACAGATCACAAAATATCATTTAAACACTAAATACTCAGTTAATAAAGATTTACAATAAATATCGGTTCCTACAATGAACATTTGTATATGGAGATATTGAAATTTCCATTTACAAGAGCTTTCAGGATGCGATGATGCCAGTTAACAAAGTTTTTACTGTATTATAGAAATATACTCCATGACCGATTATGCATGAACAGGCTGTGATTCCAATATATTGTTGCGTCAGCGAGGTCACGTGACTAGTGTCATGCCACGTTTTCTAGAAATATCCTGTTCCTTCGTGAATGCCCTAGCATTTACTAGATTGGGGGTAGTCTGGTATATATAAGATGGTCACAACGTGACGGAAACAGTGTAGTGAATAATTGAACTGCAGTCAGAGAGTATTGTTGAAGTTGAGCACGTTCGTTGTTATAGCGCGACTATTGAAAATAAGTGAATCGGTAAAATTATATTCAGAAAGAATAGACCAGTTTTATTAAGAAAGGACTTGTGTCGCTAAAGTTTCTTGGGAACGAAGTTACGGAAAATCAACTAACGAACGGAGACATAACAATATAATATAGCCTTCATGAGGCCTAGAGGAAACAAAATTGCAGTAACTCTACCTATTCTAGAAAAAAAAGGCCTCAACCCAAAGAGTTTTATGCCTTTTCTTTCAAAAATATCCAGAGAATATAACCAGATGCTTATCAGTTAGTGATATTTTCACCTCTGTAAGCAAATTGTGTAATGAACCCTTCCATTTTGAAATTATAAGAGACAAAAAGTTCACATTGCAATAAATATATAGGAAAATATAATTGTATTTTTATCCTATTACTAGCTTTTCTTGGTCTTTTAAAACATGACCAGTTGAAATTGTGTAAAAAAAATAATAATAATAATAAATAAATAAACGCAGAAAGTATTTTTCTAATTACGTCATAGAACCTAAACATTACGGTTTAAATGCCGAAAGAACACAAAGCACCTACAACCAATAGGCCTAAGGTTTATAATGAAAAAATCTATCACAAAATTGAAACCTAAAAATTAATTTCAAGTTGTATCATTAGTTAAAACTAATGGCAATACGTTTGGGAGAAAGAAAGAAAAAAGTTGGTTTATCCTAAAAATAAAAAAAACTGAAATATAAAACCTAATAAAACGAATCTAGGTAATAAAAGCAAGGGTAACAAAAATCAATGGATAAACGACAAAGAAATTTTCACAAACAGGTGAAAAAGTCAAAAAAGTATTTGGAAAACAGTATCAATAACAGCTAAGCCAAGCTTAAGTCAGTTATTGAAACCATGTAAACCAATTCAGTTAATCAATAAGCTGTTATTAATACAGTGTTCTAATCAATGGCTTCCTATTACTTTTCAACACGTGCTATTATCTGTTTATCCTTTCTTTGTAAATATATATATATATATATATACTGTACTTTTTTACCTGTTTGTGTAATTTTCTTTGTCTTTATTTCCATTGTCTTTTTTTCTTTGTCTTTATTTCCATTGTCTTTTTTTCTTTGTCATTTTCCGTTGTCTTTTTACCCTTTCCATTACTACCGCCACTGAATAAAAACATATGAATTATAGTCACCAGACTCTAACTTAAATGTTTTTAAAATGCGCCAACAACTTCAAAATGTCTACGTCAAGCTAAGTATATACATAAGCTAAAATGTAAAATGATCTTAAAAGGTAGAATTCAAGCCAGCCCTCGTGAACGTTCGAAGTGTTATATACATAGTGTTGCGTCAGCGAGGTCACGTGACTAGTGTCACGCCACCTCTCGAACCTTCGG